GTGACATCACACCTTTCCTTTCCACAGAGTTGAACAGTGCGGCCGATGGCGTCACCGAGGTGGGCCGCTGTTCCCACGGACCCACTGGCCCTCCCTGAGCTGCCTGAAGCCCCTGCGCCAGGTCTGCCCCCGCCAGCTGGCCGTTTCCCAGCCCCGCGAGCCCACTGCGGGGCCGGGTGTTTGTGCAGGGACGCGCTGTTCCAGCCCGCTGCCAAGTGCGCAACGGTGTTTGTTTGTGCTTTAGAGCTTGGCACTGGTGGGGAAATATGTGCCGGGCGCTGCCCCAAGCTGCCGGAGCGAGCTGAGCTCTCCTCTGCTATTGCTCCCAGCGCCAGGAATTTGCTGCCTGACAAGGACACATTCCTGGGGGCCACGGGAAGGGTTCTGAGGGGGGCTCGGTTTTGTCCTGCTGGGCCCCGGTGCAGCCCAGTTGTGCTCTGGCCCTGGCGTGTGGATGTGGTGGCTGGGAAAGGAGCTGGCAAGGGGGTGAGAGGGCACCGGGAGCGGCTGCCCGGCCCTGTTCTGTGCGAGATCTGGGGCACTCGGGATGGGCTGTGCCCAGTGCTCACTGCAGCTTCCTCCTTGGCTCGAGCCTGCCCTCGAGGCTCTGTGGTCGGAGCGGGCAGGAGTTTCCTGGCTCCCTTTTGCAGCCGTTTGGGGGTCAGCAGTGAGCCCGCCTGCCCGCACCAGGAGCGAAAACCAGGACACCCCACCCCTGCCACGGCCTCTGGCCTGGTGTCCCGCTGGCGTCACGTCACGTCTCAGCTGGGTGACACTGCAGTGCCATGACCTGGTGACGTGGGGCTGACGTCACCTTCCCGGGTGGGGCTGGGACGCTGCAGCCAAAGGGCGTTCCAGTGGCATTGGGATGGAGCGGTGGCATTGGGATGGAGCACGCATCCGTGGTGTTGCTGGCATGGCCACCTGTGTGCCGCGGGGGCCTGCAGGGAAGCTCCTGCCTTCAGAGGGGGTAACCAGGGCTGTGATTTCGGGGGCCCAACCCCCAATTCCCAGTGGAATTCTCGCTCCATCCCAGCTGTTCCAAGAGGTGCGGATGGAGCAGAGCAGAGTGCCCCAGACACTGCCTGGCAAGAGACCTGGCAAAGGGGCACTTGGGAGACCTCCCTGCCTCCCTTCCTTGCCCGCCCAGTGCAGAGCCCTGGCGTTTGCCTCTCCGGGGGGTGTCGGATCCATCCATGTAAGCCACATCTCCATGGCTGCTGCCCCAGCCAAGGTTTGCCCAAACTGGGGCAGGTTTTGAGGGTACTGGGCTCAGTCCCAGCGGGTGAAGGAGGGCCCTCTGGCCAGGGAAGACCAGGATTGAGAGCTGGTGCCCCAACAATGCCAAGGCTGGGCATCGTGCCCCCAGGGTGTCCCGGCTGATGGGTGACAGGAGCAGGTCTGGCCTCCCAGGGCACCCACCAGCCCTTTCACAGCCCACTCCTGGCCAGATCCTGCCTGCTGCCCTGAGGGCCCGGGGTGCCTCCCCAAGGGCCCGGGGTGCTGCCCTGGTTCGTGACACCGCAGCCCTCAGTGTGGGTGGGTGAAAGGAGGTGTTGAGTAACGAGACATGTGAGGCGACCCAGTGCTGACTGGAAGAAATGAGGCCATTCCCCACGAACATCCAGCCGAGCGGGCTGGGGTCAGAGAGGGCTTTGACCAGGCAGATCCAGGTGAAATGCCGAGTGGGAAGTGACAGAATGGTGTGGACTGGAAGGGACCTTTGCCCCCTGCCACCAGCAGGGTATCTTCC